TTATCATCCGCAGTTATGGCCTAGCTGAGTGCTCTCGGTGCAGTAAATTCTTCTACCTAATGAGGTTCTTACTTCAGAGGAAGCTTGGCCTTGTTGCATTACATGTATGATTGTTAGCCTTGGCTCTAAACTGGCTCTTCTTTTCAGCATCAAAAGCCAGTTTAATTTTTAGACTTGCAAAATATTCATAGAAACCATATATATTTATATTTTTCTCAAACGGCTGAATTTTTCCCTATAATAAGTGCTTTGTAAGTTTGATTTCCCATCTCTCTTTTAGCCCTGTTTTTCCTCCTTTTCTTCTACTCCTATGGCTCCCTGTATCCCAGGGACTAAAGGAGAATGGAACATAACTGCTTAATTGCAGTGGGATGCTGCCCTTGCACATCAGAGCAGAAATGTGTGCATGTAGGAGCTGCATATATGGGAATGAAGAGAGGACAGAGGGATCACGGCTGTCCTTCCACGGTCCCTTAATCTTCCTCACCATGTTGTGAAACCCCTTTGGCTCTTCCTCGTTCCTCTCCATAACTCCTCTGCCAATGAGAAAAAATTGCATTTTCTCTTCATGGCTGAGAAGCTTTGAGCAGGCTCTGCTGCATTGTGCAGCAGTGTATCTTGACTAAACGCGTTATAGCTCACAAAACATCATACGTTTTCACTCACTGTTGCAGATATCCCAAATAAAGTCCCTATGTGCCTGGACTCTGCTGGCAGAGCCATTGCAGAGTCCCCTTAAAACTCTTGTGTCAGTCATGTGGTCTGGAGACTTGTGTGAGCAGTGTGCTTTTCTTGGTATTTTTCAGAAATGCCTTTTCCCTGATTCCAGCAATATTTGGGATCAAGTCACTAGCTTTGGTGTGGCTGGTAGGCAATGAAAGTCAAGTGAGAACAGTTCCATTTTGTGTAGCTGTTTGTGGTGTGAGCTGACGAGCCTTGCTTTAGTCCTAGAGGGCAGCCATCCACATCATACAGATGGTTGTTGCAGTTGGCATTGACTGAAGTGCATGGATTGCTCTTTGTATTTAGCCACCTCAAATGCAAAAAAAACCCCACTCCTATTTGTGGACAGAGTCCATGCTTTCAGTGTCTCTTGGCTCTCCATGAAAAACAGATGGCACTTTAGTCTTTCACAATGTCAGTCTCTGAGTATCTGAAAAACTGAGCTGCCACACAGGGAGGCAGAGGTGACCTGAGTACCCATCCTACGGCAGCGCAGCATGGCTTATCTCAACATATCTCCTGCCCGTCCAGGACCAGTGTGGAGGTTCTCTCCTTTAACTAGCCTAGGTGTCCATGCTGTGATGTCTCCAGCTCATTCCCCTCAAAGACAGAGAAAGTAGGGATAGCCAGGCTGCCCCAGCTCATGCACTTGTTTTCTTTCCAACTTGGTACGCAAACAAATCCAGCATCCATAGCGTGGAAACACAGATACGGTCCTGAACCTGCCATCCAAACATTTATATCATGTCTCTGGTTGTGCCTTACAGTCTTTGCTCATCTAAGTGTGTTGCTCTGGGCCCTGTTCCCTTTAAACAGGGTTTACGTGTTTTGCATTGGAGGGGGGTGATGTGGTACCTGCAGGGCTGGGCTCATGCTGCTCTGCCTATTCCTGAACTGCATAGCAACAAAATCTTCAGTGACTGACTCTTCAGAGTCAGTCTTCCTCATCCTGCCAGTCCTGCACCTACCAGAAGTACTGAAAAATGGCATTAAAAGGCTGCAATATGGATTTGTGCTCTGATTGTTTACCTAAATTTTTCCTCAAGTTTTCAGAAGGTAGGAAAGTTAGGAGCCAGACCTGCTGTTTCGTTATCTGCTTCCAGCAGGGGGAGATGGGACCAGAGAGTTATTTCTTCTGGGAGCACAAATAAAAATAATATTATTTATTTTCCTCGTGAGGCACTCTCCTAGGATTTGTGTGATTCCTGCTTGTTTGGCCTTTTACACTTATGCAACCCCTTCCTTTTGCTTCTGTACACTTCAAAAAACAAATAAGACCTATCCACATTACGTTTTGTTTTTGTTTTATTTTTCACAAGGTTCACAAGACCCTAAAGAGAATTTCTTCCTCATCTCTCTGATTATTATTATTATTATTATTATTATTATTATTATTATTATTATTATGTTATGCTACAGTAGTTCTAATGAGTTCTAATAAATGTGTAAGAAGATTAAATCATCCCCTGTACTGCTGGATCAGCAAAGAGGGGCCTCTGAGCCCTCTGTGATATACCTCTCTTGGTAGGGGGGCATGGCCACATGCAGTCCCACCTTGAATCAGGATCTTAGTGGCGCCTGGAGACAGGATTTCTTTCTTCTCCCTCCCTGAAACCCCTCTGTCGTTCTCTGTATAAAACATATTGGTGCCACTTTCTATGAACTATATTTAACTAAGCATTAAATTTAGATTTAACTGGATAGTTATTGCCTCCTAAGTAAATACTCTGAGATAAGGAAATATTTAGTGAGCTCTAGCAGTTGGGTGGCAGATGCTTCTTGCATTGCATAATAGTTAATCTTCGACAAATATGTTTTCCATACTCCACGGGCATTTAATTAACATACAATAGCTCTTATTAAATGTAGATGAAACATATTTGGGAGACCCTTGTAAAAAGGATCCATGCAACACTGGCTTGCAAGAGAGGTGCATTTCTTTCATTGCTAACTTCATATGGGACCAGGCCTTGGAGCTGTACTCAAAGTCTGTCACGGGGAGTGCAGAGGTTTCCCCTTGGTGATGCCCCTCTTCAGGCATGCCAGCAGCCTGATGTGTCCCTGCGCCTTGCACTCTCCATCCTAGAGAGATGGTTACTAGTCAGCAATCAGGTGTCAGCAGCATTGTCTTCTCCAGAGGATTATCCTTGTGAGGTGGTATTTCTCTCTGCAATAGCTTGGGTACATCTAGTGTATGGATTAACCCCTTTAGCTCCTCATTCCTCTCCCCCTCTGGTGCTATCTGTGCCAAGTCTACTGCAGAGGAAAGGTCTGACTTGCCTCACTCCTTGGCTTGAATACAAAGCAGTCATCTCTTCTTGCTGCTGCATGCGTGGCACTGGAGCAGCAGTGTCATGACCTTAGTCCCTAATTTGTGGGCCTTTAACACTTGCAGGGATTGTTTAAGTACTCAGACAGTGCGGCCTTTCCATACCAAGGCTGCAGGGGCCAGTTTCTAGGAGTTCAGAAAGCAACTGGATGTGCTCCTGGAAGAAGAGAATCATTCAAGTGCCATTAACTACAAAGGCAGTGCCACTGGCTGGGGACATGCCTTAGCCATAAATCACTAGAAATAGATAAGTGCCCTGGGGCAGTACCACTGCATGCTTGCCTTGTGCTTGAGTCCTTCACCAGGCATTGGCTTTAGGCTGCTTAGAGACAGGAGGAAGGGTTAGAGGGTCCTTTGATCTGGTCCCACACGGCCATTTCTGTGACATTCCTTATGTCACTTCAGTTTGAGCGCACTGTGTCCCACAAGGCTGCAGGAGCAGAGGTGAAGCAGGCTACGTACAAGACCTGCTTTTTTCCCTTCCTGCACATGTACCAGCACTGTAACCACACAGAACAGCAACTCTCAGCCGAGTAACCCCATGGCTTTTCTTGCACCTGATTCTCCCTCTTAGACCTTCCCTTCCCTCTTTGCTTGCCGCCCCAGCCCCGCCGTGCTTTGGTCGCAGAAGGGTTACATGAGCGAAGCATCCCTAGGAGCAGTTCTGATCCCTCCCGCAGGCAGAGATCGGGCTGGTGGAATGGCAGGCAGGCATCAGCAATAAAACATTCGGCTTATTCCTTTCCATTAATTTAATCTCGCTTCTCTTTGCGGTGGGCTGCGGGCTGCGGGAGCGTTCCCGGGTGGGCAGCGCTGCTGCCGGCGGGGCTCAGCTGCGGGCTCTGGCAGCGGCAGCACAGGCCGAGCATTCACACCGCGGGCAGCTCAATGCCGGCATTGTCTCCGCTCCGTCGCTCCGAGGCTGGGAAAGGGGGTGGGGGGCGGGAAGGGCTGAGTGAAGAGAGGTGGGAGGGAGGGATGTACAACTGGTTATCTGGCGAGAGTAAAGTCTGAGAGAGGAAGAAGCATGGTCTGAGGCTGCAGAGGCAGTTGCCAAGGATGCTGCCCTGCTAATCAGCTAGCGTGTGGCTTTAGGCCGCTAAGCCAAGTTGTTTGCACTTTTGGCCACAGACCCTTTCCTCACTATTTCATCTTGAGAATATTTGCCGTACCTTCCTCCGTCCTCTCTGCCCTACTCCCTGTGCCTCCTTCCCGCTCAGCAGCTCCCGGCTGCTCCTGCCTTCTCTCTGCTCCCCGCTCCACTTCCTCGCTCCCCTTCTCCTTTCTCCAGCCCCCTCTTCCTCTTCCATCCCCTTCCCTCTCTTCCTCTCCTTCCTCCCCTCTCCTTCGGGGCTCACCCCCTTTGCCTTGCAGCCCTCATGCCTTTCCAAGCCCTCTCTCCCCGCTACAGTGCCCCCTCCCCTCCCCGGCCGCCGTTCCGTGTCCCCCCGGGTATCCCCGGTCCCCGGTGCGGGGCCCCGAGCGGCTGCGCCCCGGGAGAGGGATGGGGAGCGCGGCCCGCGGCTCCTTCCGTGCCCGCCGCCGCCGCCGTGGTGCCGAGCTGCCGTCTCACGAGTAAGGCTCCCTCCTCCCTCTCTCCCTCTCTCCTCCTCCTCCTCCTCCTCCCTCCCTCGCTCCGCCTGGGAAAGTGGGTTAGGAGGGAGCGCGGGGCTGGAGGCTGCACAGCCACAGGACTATCCCCTCCCGCATCCCGGTGGCACAGGATTCCTCTTGTTCCTTTTCTTTTTTTTTTTTTTTTCTCACCACTCTTCATCACTCTAAACGGGTCGATTTAATTGTTATTATTCCGTAGTTATTTTGCTACCTGACTTTTTTCGTCTTGCTTCTTTTTTCCCCCTTTTTTTATTTGAAGGATCTGCTAAGACTTTTTTTTTTTTTTTTTTTTGGAAAGCCTTAAAAAAAAAAAAAAAAGGCAAGGAAGGGAAAGAAGCCAGCAAGAGACTGAAAAGAGCAAGAGAAAGTGGCAGCTGAGAAGGACTGTGAAATCACCTCCCCTTTTTTGGACTGTCGATCAGAGCGAGAGTTGTACATTATTATTATTGTTTTTCTTTCTGCGTCTATCTGTCCACATACGCAGGCAGAGAAAGAGACAAGTACTGACAGTGAAACTCGACGAGACCAGCCATGGTAGCAAGGGCTCAGCCTGATCGGAAACAATTACCGCTGGTCCTACTGAGATTGCTTTGCCTTCTCCCTACAGGGCTGCCAGTCCGCAGCGTGGATTTTACCCGAGGTACCGATAACATCACCGTGAGGCAAGGGGACACAGCCATCCTCAGGTAGGGCATTTTGCCAACTTTTCCTCTCCTGTGTGTGCATCTATATTGCCATGTATGCAACGTGTACGTGTGACGTGGTCCAGATTTGTGGGTATAAGTCTCTGTGAGATTGTGTGTTATTTTACCTCTCAAACTGCAGTAGCAGCAGCTGCTACAAACAGGCTCTGCATGTGTGTTTGTGCTTTAATATCAAAAAATTGCAAAGCTTTTGAACACTTCTTGCCCCACTATCCTCTGTGTAGTGCCCTGGATCGAAAGAATTTCAGTGGGGAAAGATAGTTTGTGTCAGCCAGCTCTTGGGAGCGTACACTTTCCACCAGCCCTGCAGTATCAATAGAGGAATCGAAAAGGGATCCAGCTGTGCTTGCCAGATGTTACATTGATCTTCCCGTGCTTCTTTTTGTACATATGCAAAAACTTTATCCCTGGTGCTGCCAGAACTCTCAGGCAAGTTCTTTTGGGAAACCCTTGTCCTTTAATTTTATTTATTTATTTTTCTGCCCTGCGGGGAGGGAAGATGGATACAATAGTTGAACAGGCTGGTGAAAAAATGGTGTAGCAGCTCTGACTGCTACAATTTACGGAGATTGTATCTTTGTGTGTTGGGGTTTTTTGCATGGCTAAATAAATGGGTGTATGCTGTGCCTGTGTGTCTGGTTGTGATGAGGATGTCTTTGCACACGAAACCTTGCTTACTGGCAGTATTGAGTGTTGTATTTCTGATTTCATTGTGCAGGTTTTCCAAAGGTACTTCTGGCACTACTTGGGCTTTCTGTTAGGAGCGTCCCAAATAGCTGAACTGCAGTAGTCTTTTTCCTGTAGGTCTTTTTTTTTTTAATTCTACACCTTGCTCAACTTACCTGCAGTAACTCCCCTACTGAAGGAAAATTCTGTGTGTGTGAATGTGCACACTGTGTGTTATGGCTGTAAAACTACTGGGTGTAATTTAAAATAAGTCTGTGATCTGTGTGAGGAGCTGATAGTGCACAAACCCTGAAGCATCAAGGGAGCAATCCCCTAGTAAAGCTAACAGCAGCAGCAAAGTTTTCTTTCTCTTTCTGTGAAATAAATCCTGCTGGATGTCACCAAACACTCTGCTACATGATCCCCTGTGTCCTGCATCCCTCCCATTTAATGATAGAGAGAGGAAGGATGCTGGAAGAGGGATGTGTGTGTGTGTGTGTGTGTGTGTGTACGCATATCGCTTCGGTCGCCTCCCATGTCCTCGGTTGTTTTGATCCTGGAATATCCATTCAGCAGCTTCCATTCCCCAGCTCTCCAGACTTGTTAACTTGAATGTAAGATTTATCCACACAGAGTAATAGGATTTACAGAGTAATTCATCTGCCTTGCATATGCAGTGGAAGCGGTTTAGATTCGACATGGTAAACACCTAACAAGGGGTGTTGCCTCTGACTCCAGCTTCTCTACTCTCTCTTCCACTCACTACCAATCCATATATCCCATTAACCCTTTTCTAGCAGGACTCCTAGCTGACTTATCCCATTTTTAAAGGCAAATCGCTTCCATCAATCATTTATTTTGGAGGGGCTGCTCAGACAGATGTTTGCCAGCATGTTTGGTACATGCAGCAGCAGACAAGTCATTAAGCTCGCTTGCCCAGACAGGGGTCACTAGATTTCTATTTCCCACTTAACCTTGGAGCTTTTCAGTTTATCTAGATGCTGTGTGCTGAAGCTGCCTTTGCAGCTGAGAGGGCTGAGCGGATGGTGGAGATGGTGCCTGCAAGGGCTGCATGTGAAGCGTTCCTTCATCAGCAAGCTCCACGGGGCTGCATGGGAGAGTGCTTTCTGTGATTGCGTGTGGCTTGCCAGTGTTATGTCAGGCACTAAAATAAAACACCTGAGTGAAGTGATCCAGCTGTGTCAGCCAGATGTGTGCCAAGTGACACAGTCTGCAGGAGCAGCACACCACCCGGCCATGTAAATGCTTGCCCCGGGCAATACTGTATTCCTGGCTGGCTGCATTTCTGTCAGAAGTAACTGTGGCCAGTGCACAGGCTGTACCTTTTCCTTCAGCTACCTTCCTAAGCCCTTTAAGCAGATCTGGCCAGCTGTATGCTTTTCACATTTCCTAGGAAGGGCAGCTGTCTCCCTTTCCCTGGGACCAGACCCAGGTTTCTGGGATATTTCAGTTCCTCCTTCAGAGAAGAAGCAGAAACCAGGCTGTACTGGGAGACAGACTGCCACATGAAGCTTGTAGGTGTGAGATTTCCCCATGTCCCATGGACTTTAGGTCCTGCAGGATAACATTTCTTGTCCTCAGTTTTAAAGCAAAGATTTGTTTGCTAGCTTCCCCCTCACTGTTTTGTCAACCTCCAAAACATAACTCACTTTAAGACAGCCTTGTTTTGAAAAACTCCCAGTGCCTCACTCTCCCTGTCTATAGATCCACTATGACAACAGAAGGAAAAGAGCTAGATGGAAAAAATAAAAACTCTGTTAGATGATCTGTACTAACTGTGTTCAAAGCAGAACTTTATGTCCACAGATAGATAGGTAAGAGTTTTCTATGCATGGATCACATCACCTATCTTTGCTAAACATCTGCTTCAGAGGGATTGTGCAGCATCAGTTTACCAGTGCCCAGTAGCTCCTGTAGCTTGAAGGGAAATAAAAGTGTAGGAGGGAGAAAAAATGATACGCAGTTGGAGAGAAATAAAAGCAGTATACATAGTGATAAGATAACTAAAAACATTTTGTTCCTGTAAATTGTGATGCAAATCATTCAGCGAATCAGCAAGGACAGGATATTCTAAATGAGTCTTCCTCTTGGGGCCTTATACATTTGTATATAGGGTTACACTTGTAGGTGGAAGAATGGGTGGGTGGGCTGATCTATGAAGTGGAGAAAAATAGTTTATTATAAGCCCTAATGTTCCTAAAGGAAGCCAGTCCTCTGAAGCTTCATCTGCAGCTTGTTACTCAGAATAGAATTATTCTGAAAAGTTTGGAGATGACTTTCTAAAGCTGTAGCATTTAAAATATTCCCTCAGTCCAGGACTATTAAAAAATGTCCCTAACTCTAAACTGGCTCATCTCCTAAATGACCTGGCAGCAGATTTGATTCATATGTCAGCCTTGCTGAAGGTTGATGACTCTTAGTGAGTATTTGGCATGGGGAAGTTAGGGAATTGCAGAGAGAATAAAAATAGCTAATTATAGGCTATCCGCAGGGAAAAGGGTAATTGTCTGCTCCTTGGAGCAAGGCAGAAAAGAGAGGCGGGCTCTGAGAGCTGCAACAGGTGAGAAGGGCTGAGCAGAGTTGCTGGTGTTTGTCCGGCTGCAACCAAGAAAATAGAGTAGGATGTTTTAAAGATGACACTGTATATTGGTGAGCCTGTCAGATTTACTAAGGTTTCATTTTTTTAACTCTGTCTTCAGCAAGTGAAGAAGGACACTGAACCTTATTTTGAGTTTTGAGAGGGAACTTTGGCCACAGTTCCTGCCAATGTCTTGCTGTCCAGATTACAATCATGAGGCTGTCAGGTTTTGTATGCAACTTCCCTACTTGGTGTTAGGAAAAGAAGAAAATAATATCCAAACAAGAAACGTACAACATATCCCCCAAACTAATTAAAATAGGAAAAGGAAAACAGGCCCCAACCCCAAATCTTCTTGCTGTTTGCCTGCCTTCAGCATCCCTTCCCACCTCATTTGCTGTGCACATTTTGGGTGAGCAAAGGCAGGTACATGTTCAGCTTAGGGAGAGGATGAGGAATACGAGGATGTTGGCTAAACTAGGACGTGTGCAGTAATGAAGGGCAGCTGCTGCTAACTGGGAAGGAAGGGAACTGTGTTCTGTGTTGTGTTTGGCCCTCTAGATGGTTTAAAAGCAAAATGGCAGTGGGGAGTCCATGCTATGGGATCAAGTACCTGTACAGCATGTTGGGGAAAGATCAGCTGCCTCAGAACCAGCACAGCAGTGCAACTCAAAGTGCCTTCAAAGAGCTCATCTGAGTGTGTCAGCAGGACTTGCAGCTTGCCCAGGAATTTTGGAAGTTCTGGCACAAGTGCAGATTTAGCCTTTAAAGACTCCTGAAATGGAGCTCATCACCAGCTGGAACCAAAATGGGTCACATCTCCATCCCAATCTGTTCTGTTATACCAGTACAAATCCACTAAAGCCCAAGGGCAGAGTCAGAAATATTCCATTTGTCTTTGGGGCAGATTCCCAGGGACCGCAAATAAAGAGGTACAAGTGACTCATACAGGGCATAAGCTTCTGAGCACTGCTCAGATGATGTTCAGCCTTTGGAGAACTGGGATCTCGCCAAGGCCAGAATTTGGCTCATTGCTCTTGAGTTTTTCCAAGCGTCAACTTTTCATCAAGAACTAAAACAATCTCATGCTGATGTGCAGATGAAAACCAACATTTGACTGAGTGTGCATTTTTCATTTTTACCAGGTATTTTAAAATAATGTAAATTTTCAGGCTGATAGCACATTTAGGAACATCCATCCTAACAGGTACGTAGTTTCTTCAAGTTGTATGTTTCAAAGGATGGGCTAGAATCAAATTACCAGCAGTAATGACAGTGCTGTTGGCGTAATCCTGCAATATAAGCAATTTATGCAAACTCTGTTCTTGGCCTCCCAGTATTTTGCTGATATGTTACATGTGGAGCTGTGCTAGAGGACAAAAGCACCTCAGGCAAAATAGCAACACAACATCACAACAAAGTTTATGCTCTGTACCGTCATTTTAAAATAAAAGTAAAAGCTGTTCAGATTACACTTACAATTAGCATATGATTTATAACAGGGAGCACTGAGCTGAGCCCTTTACAAGAAATGAGAATAGGCATATTCAAACGTATAATGCCACATAATAATACAGTCTTGGCAGTAAAATTGTAACCTTGATTATTAGTGGTATTGTTGTGGCACTTAGAGGCCACCATTAGGTTGAGGCCCCCTTTGTATTAAATGCCACGTGAGCAGAGAGTGAGAGATCCCCCCCACTCTGCAGGGCAGGCA